GCGCTCAGACCAACACCAGCCAGCCTCAGCTCCTCCGATGATGCAGGCTGCTGCTGCTGCTGGCCCACCTCTGGTGGCTGCCACACCGTACTCCTCCTACATCCCCTACAATCCACAGCAGTTTCCAGGCCAACCTGCCATGATGCAGCCGATGGCCCACTACCCCTCACAGGTGATGGCACAGGAGGGAATGGGATACCAAGTCCCTGCCATGTTCATGTTTAGGACTCAGGAACTGAGGGAGGGAGACAGGTGGTGGTCTTTGTGGTGGTGACCAGCTGCAGGATTGGTGTCAGCCTTGGGCTTAGTTACACCGTGCCTCTGGTAGAAATAACCTGTAATGAGGTACTGAATATACTAGTATCTATCCTTTTCTCCTCTGGAATGTAAAGTAGCATCTGCTTGGCAGGATTTTTGTGAATCCTAAGTAAGGTCATTATGCCAAGGCCCAAGTACTGCTGTGCACACAGGGACCCAGCAGGAGGATGAAGCTCCCCAGGCTTGCCATGCTGACTGCTTTGCTTTTTGTACCCCCAGCCGGTGTTTGCCCCCATGCTTCAAAGCAACCCACGCATGCTGACGTCGGGTAGCCACCCCCAGGCCATTGTGTCATCCTCTACTCCCCAGTACCCATCTGCAGAGCAGCCCACCCCTCAAGCCCTCTATGGTGAGTTCTGCTGTGTCCACCTCCTGCTCTGGTCTGTGCTCCTCAGCCCCCCTTGTGTGTTGAACACTGGTTCTCCTCTTTCCTGCTGCAGCCACTGTTCACCAGTCCTATCCACATCATGCCACACCGCTCCATGCCCACCAGCCGCAGCCGGCCACCACACCTACTGGGAGCCAGCCGCAGTCCCAGCATGCGGCCCCCAGTCCTGTCCAGGTGCCTGCCATGGGGAGTCTTGGGTGTCTGGGAGAAAGAGCTAGGCTGGAGGATCAGGAGTAGCAAGTGGTTGTCCTGGGTATTGGAGACTGAATGGCACTTACGGCGTTCCTTACTCATTCCTAACAGCACCAGGCGGGGCAGGCCCCACACCTGGGCAGTGGACAGCCCCAGCAGAATCTGTATCACCCAGGGGCCCTGACAGGCACACCGCCCTCTCTGCCACCGGGACCTTCTGCCCAGTCCCCTCAGAGCAGCTTCCCCCAACCAGCCGCTGTGTATGCCATCCATCCCCACCAACAGCTGCCCCACAGCTTCACCAACATGGCCCATGTTACCCAGGTAAGAGCCCGTGGGACCACTTCCTCAGAGCCTGTTAGCTAAAGAACATGACCCATGTGTGTGAGGCTGATCTAGTTTGGGAGAGTCCCTGGCACACTGCATTCTCAGAGTCCATCGCAAACCTCCACAGTGCTCCCACTGGTTTTCTTCTCTGCAGGCCCATGTCCAAACTGGAATCACAGCAGCCCCGCCCCCTCACCCTGGGGCTCCCCACCCGCCCCAGGTGATGCTGCTGCACCCACCTCAGAGCCATGGGGGGCCCCCCCAAGGCGCGGTGCCCCAGAGTGGGGTGCCTGCACTCTCAGCTTCCACACCCTCACCCTACCCCTACATCGGACACCCCCAAGGTGAGCAGCCTGGCCAGGCGCCTGGATTTCCAGGAGGAGCCGATGACAGGATTCGTGAGTTCTCGTTAGCTGGGGGAATTTGGCATGGAAGAGCTGAGGGGCTGCAGGTGGGGCAGGATGCACGGGTTCTGGGCGGGGAGTGAGGGGTCTTGGAGGCAGGGCTGTCCCACAGGGCGCCCGCCGACCTGCACCTGTCTGTGAAGTATGTAGGGTGGGCAGAAGCCACAGTCGCCGCCGCCAGGGGCTTGCTCCTGGCTCTGTCCTTTGCTTCCCTCCGTCCTCGCTCAGTTGTGATCCAGCAGCCCCCCTCCCCACTGCCTCCCCAGCTCTCAGTGACCCCGACTGTCTCCTGACTTAGCCGAGGTAAGGTCAGCGCAGCAGACAGGGCCAGACTGGGGTGTGGGGGGCTGAGCTGGGCACACGAGTGAGGGCTCTGGCTTACTGGGAAACAGCGATTGACCTGTGCTTCTGACAGCCCCATGAGACACCTTGAGGAGGCCGCTCCTTCCCACATAACCCCCGCAACACCCCTGGACGCATTGATGAAGGGACAGCTGCTTGGGTTCTAATGCTCCTGCTCTCTTCTCTTTCCCCTCCAACCAGTTCAATCTCATCCCTCCCAGCAGCTCCCCTTCCACCCCCCGGGGAACTGAAGATTGTCCTGGCCGCGACCTGAGACCTCCATGAGTGGAGGGAAGAGTGATCTATGTCTCTTCCCCCAGCAGCTCGGACCAGTCCCAGCCCCCCACCCCCTTTCCCTGGGGAGCTGGGGAAATCCTGCCAAGCACCTTGAATGGGAGGGGCCTCAAAGTGGGCAGGGCCAGGGTCCAGCGGGGTGGGGGGTTCCTGCTCTGCCCCTGCCTGTTCCCACCCAGTCTTGCCCTCCCATCCTCTCATCTATTCCCCCTCTGGAGATGGAAGATCTTTTATTTTCTATTATTTATAACCTCAGACTTGGGCCCCCTGTTCGTTCTTCCCATTAACTTGAGTGACCTGCGTGTGAGACAGACAGATGCCCCACAAGGATGGTTGGACAAGGACTTTTACTTTTTATTACATAAAAATATTAAAAAAATAAAAATAAAAAAAATAAAATTTTAAACTAACTTAACTTCACTGTAGTTTGATCTTTGGAGCTAAGAGTAAAATTACAGGAGTCAGTCTTAAATTAGGGTTACGTTTATCTTATTGTTCCCCACCATGTAAAAAGTGTAGTCCATTTCCCTAAACCTAAGATAAGGTGAGGCTGAGGGGAACCAGATCAGGGTTATACCTTTTTTTTTTTTTTTTTTTTTAAAAAAACCCTTTTTGGTCTTTTGGGGCAAGTTTCACTACAAAGTTCAGGCAGGCTTTGAACTTGTCATGATCTTAGCTCCACCTCTTGAGTCAGGCGACCCTGCTTATTTGCAAATGACTTGTAGATTTAATGTTTGAAGTTGTAGGGGCTGAGGATTTCACTCAGCAGCCTAAGAGTCTGCCTGGCAAGTACAAGGTCATGAGTTTGATCCCAGTACCAAAAAAAAGTTGCGTAGTTGATCACTATGACATTCTGAATAACATTGACTAAAAGCACCTGGCAAACACATCCATTGTAGTGCTGTCATTGGAAGAATAGAAAGTCTTACTGGTACACAGTTGGGGGTCGTCATGGGTGAGATCTGTGAAGACTGCTAATGTTGGGAGAGCCATGTTTAGGGCAACCAGTGTTCAAGTAAGGGTTGGGAGCTAAGGGGTATGGCACACACCTGTAATCCCAGCACTTCAGATAGGGCTGCCAGGAGTTCAAGGCCAGTTTGGATTGCACAGTAAGACCTTGTCTCCAGAGAAGAGGTCTGGGATGTGGAAATGGAAACAGGCTTCACGGGGGGGGGGGGGGGGGGTGTCAGGGAGGCAGTTTGGCATCCTGTTACCTGATGCTGGTTTCCTTGTCTGTGAAGTGGAGGTTATTCCTCACTTCCAGGGTTTAAGGATGGCTCTGGTGCTCAGCATCAAGCAGGCTTAAATCTGCTTGGACAAAAGCCTAGGGTTGAGCACAGGAAGGCTCCAGGCTCTGTGGATTCCTTTCCTGGGTAATGGACATGATAGAGAAGAGGAACTTGTTTAGCTGCTGCTAATAATGGCAAAGTTGGGGGACATTGAGGTGGGGGCTGGCAGTGGAAGAGGCAGGAGCTGAGAAGCCTTCCAAGACAGAAGCTGTAGTTCAGCCTGGCTTTAAACTCATGACCCTAGTGCTTAAACTGGGATTATAGTGCCACACCTGGCTTGAACATTGCCCTTTTTATTTGGTGTTAGCTTGCTAGTTACTCTTAAGAAAATGTGCCTGGCATTTTACTACATGCAATACAGTAAATGGCCTTTAATCAGCAAATACTGCAAGTTTTTTAATGCAGCACCTGCATTCATGCCAGCTACATATCCAGTCCTTTCTTTGAGAACAGTCTTGCTAAATTGGCAGGACTGTTTTAACCTTTGGGTCCCCCTGCCTCAGCCTTTTCTAGAGAGTGCTGGGATTACAATTGTGTACCACTAGGCTGAACTCAAATTTTTCAGGCACTGTACCATTGAGTTACATGGAGTAGCCCTTATTTTTAAGGTAAATCTGGCTATTGCCCAGGGTGGCCTTGAACTTCTGGTCCCCTGCTCTGGCCTTCCAAATAGCTGGGGTTACAGGTGTTTGTCATCACACTGTGCTTACCTTATTCCTGACCTTCAGCTGCTTTTCTTAGAACTGATAGGTATCAACCCAGAATCTACTCAGTGGAAATGTGGCCTTGGCACCTGAGTTAAGCACATTGGATGACCGTTGTTTTGTTTTGTTGGTAGTGGGGATGGGACCCAGGACCTTTGCACTGACCTATACCCCAGTCCATTTGTGGGGTTTTTTTTGTCTTTTTTAAATGCCCAGCCCCTTCATTTGTGTTTTTTAGGGTTTTGTTGGTACTGGGTATCAAACTCATGACCTCATACTTACCAGGCAGGTAGGTGTCTGTGCCACTGAGCTATATCCCTGGCTCCCTGGTCCCATTTTTGAGACAGGGTCTCCGTAAATTGCTAAGTTCCAGAGGGGGCTTGTATGTGGGATCTTCCTGCCTCAACTTCCTACGACTTACTCTGTTCCTGCCATACCATTCTGATAAAGCTCCACAGACTAGATTCTGTCACAGCAGTGAGGATAATGGCCTTGAATAGACTGTGTCAGTATCAGAGATAATCAAGTTAGAGGGGCCGGAGGTTTAACTCAGCAGCATAAGTGCCTGGCTGGCAAGCGTGCAATCATGAGTTCAATTCCCATTACTAAGGGAAAAAAAAAAATACCTTAGAGGAACTCAGTTAAAATGGCTCTGGAATCTAATAAGCTTATGTGTTCTGGGCATCAAATATCTTTCTATATCCTGCCTTCTCCAATTTATACAAAGGACACGACACATAGCTTACTATTCACAGAACAGTTTATTGGCCTACTTTGTCTATCAGGCCACCTCTATGACCAGGGGGAAGTGTCCATCTGGCTGCACTCTGCTGGTGGCAGCTTCTGCCCTCAGGATACCCAAAGCAGGAGGAAAGACTGGCCAGGGCAGTCCTAAACTCAAGATAACGTGAGCAAAAGTCCAGACTCAACTCCACTTGAGGTTCTTGTCCTCCTCGGTCATGGCTGATGTATCAGTAACAAGGCCAGTACCAATGGTCCGGTTGCCATCTCGTAGGGTAAAACGCTGACCTTTCTCTAGGATCATTGGCTGTCGCAAGATAAGGCTGAGCTTTAGATCCTCCCCGGGCATGGCAAGCTCCTGGAATATGAGAGAAGTACACAAAGCCTTCAGGATACTGCCACCATTCTGTGATTGCTGCTGAGGTCACAAATCACGGGAAAATGCCATCCAGGGACAGCAAACAACGTATGTTTCAGGAATCTTGGATTATGCAGTTTCTTCAATCATAGGACTTTTTTTTTTGTGTGTGTGTGTGTGTGTCTTTTTTGGAGACAGGGTCTCTCTATGCAGTTCAGACTGGCCTTAAGCTGTTTGTAGCCTAGCATGGTCTCAAACTTGCAATGATCCTCCAAACTTGCAATGATCCTCCTGCCTCAGCCTCCTGAGTGCTGGGATTACAGGCGTGAGCCACCACGCCCGGCAATCATAGGACTTCTTTGAGCCCTTATGTTTAAGAAGAAACTTGACAAGAAGCACGCTTAGCCGAGGAGTGATTCTGTAAGTAAAATGCTGGTATAGTTAAGCTTTTCACCTGTTTCAGCCCAGAGGGTGTGCAGATAAGGACTCCCTCAAGACCAGTCCTTCCCAAAAAAATGTTCAACATCACTTGTCATTCCAGAGATTCAAAGTAGGGGCTGGGGATTTAGCTCAGTGGCTTATGCGCTTGCATGGCAAGGGCAAGGTCATGAATTCAATCCCCGGCACAAAAAAAAAAGAAAGATTCAAAGTAAAACAACACTGGGGGGGGGGGGGGGCTTTTCCACTGTTGGTGGGAGTACAGCAACTCCTATGGAAATTAGTGCAGAGATTCCTCAAAAACACTAAAACCAGAGGTTCCATTCAACCCAGATAATCCCTTTCCTGGTATCTTCCTAAAAGAATTAAAATCATATCACAGCGACATAATGCACACCCACGTTTACAGTGGCACGCTTGGTAATGGCTAAATCTTGGAAACAGCCCAAATGTCCAACAACCAATGAATGGATAAAGATGAGGTTTTTTGGGCTGGGGATTTAACTCAGTAGCATAAGCGCCTGCCTGGCAGGCTGACAATCAGGAGTTCAATCCCTGGTACAATAAAATTAAAGATGTGGGTTTTTTTTTACTATAATGGAGTACTATGCTACAAAGGATAAGGTCAAGAAATTTTAGCTAAATAAATGCACCTTGGAACGACACTCTAAGTGAAATAAATTGGATGTGTATAAATACTACATTGTCCTTATCTGGTGTGAGAAACCAAAAGTGTAAATGAGCAACTGTGTAACAGACACTGGGAAATACTGGGAAATGGGGAGAAAATATTTAAATGAAAAGGGGAATAAGTGAGGGGTGGGGAGAAACAAAAAGAAGGGAGAAGGAAAAGATGGAAACAGCTTATTGTAAATGAGGGGAAGAGAGGGTTAACAGGAGGGTAATGGGGAAAAAACAGTAGCAAGATATAAACAATACAAAAAAAGATATAAACAATACAAATTCCCTAGGATAAATGTATTATGTATATCTTAAATGTATAAATTTAAAAACAAAAAAGCAACACACAAACCAAAAAAAAAAAAAAAACCCAAACAAGACCAGTCATTAGTTTCACTTGTACCAGTAGCAGCCAGGCTCTCTTTCAGCTCCCCAGATTATCACATCACATCTCTGGACTCTGCTCAGGCAGGGCCAACAGAGTACCCCCTCCACTCCTGCATGGTCCCTCTACCAATCATACCTTCCCCGGAGGCAAGATGACCCGACAGGCCATGTCCCAAGTGAGAGAGAACATGACAGGCATGAAGTGAGACACAAAGGGCTTGTGGCGGCCGCCTTCTTCCTTGCTGAGGATGTAAACCTGAGGGGAGAAAGGGCAGGGCTATGCCTGGCTGGACGTGGCTGGAAGCCATCCTCCTCTCAGCACTGCTCGCCACTGCAGCCCTTACCTGTGCCTCCACCTTTTGGTGTGGCTGAATAGAACCTGGCTTGACCATGACCAGGCCACGCCGCAGGTCCTCCCGCTTCAAGCCTCGGACCAGGGCCCCAAGGTTATCTCCGGCCTCTGCCCTCTCCAGACTCTTGTGGAACATCTCAATGCCTAGGGAGGAAGAGGAAAAGGAGGTAGAAGGCTCAAGGGATCAACGTCGGGAGAGGGCAGCCTGGAACCCTGGCCAGAAGGCTTTCTTCCTGTACCTGTCACCACAGAGCGAATGTTCTTGCTATGTCCCAGGAGCTCACACTCGTCTCCCTTCTTCAAAATGCCACGTTCTAGTGTACCTGTCACCACGGTGCCCCGGCCTGGGAGGAAACAGGACAGGACATCAAGGACCTTGGGCTTGGCTGTTGCTTCAGGAAAGGGTGTGAATGAACAGCCCTCACCAGGAATAGAGTAAACTGACTCTATAGGCAGCAGGAAAGGCTTCTCCAGGTCCCGGGTAGGAACTGGGATGTAAGTGTCCACAGCATCCAGCAGCTTCTGCACAGACTTCACACCTAGTTCAGGGTCACGTTGCTGTTAGGAGGAGGGGACAGGACACCAATACAATTTCCATAATGCTCCTCTAAACAAAAAAGCTACTACTTAAACATAGTGCAAAGCTCTGGAAGCCCATCTAACCCCATCCTGTACAGCAGCAGCCCTGCCTTCACCTCAAGGGCACACAGAGCAGAGCCTACGATGACAGGGGTCTCCTCCCCTTTGTAGCCAAACTCAGTAAGCAGTTCCCGGATTTCCAGCTCAACCAGCTCCACCATCTCAGAGTCCTGGACGGCATCTGCCTTGTTCACATACACCACGACATGTTCTACCCCAATCTGCAGATGAGACACAGATAGTGTTCAGAGTCCCCCAACGGGATCCTCCTCCCTCTTTCTGTATCACCCCCAGACTGAGTACCTGTCTGGCCAGTAGTAAGTGCTCTCGGGTCTGGGGCATTGGGCCATCATTTGCTGCCACCACCAAGATGCAGCCATCCAAGGGAGCAGTGCCTGTGATCATATTCTAGGTAGGAGGAAGAGCAGAAACAGCCAAGTTCAGTGACTATTCTGCTGAGCCAAAGGTAGCAGTTAAAACCTAAGCCTCTTTCTCTGCCATCTCTTCACCACTCACTTTTGGGTGTGCATGGCCACATCTCCCTCTTTCTCTCTTTTAGAATGGGTCTTGCTGTATAGTTCAGGCTGGCCTTGAACTATGTAGTTCAAGCTGGCCTCAAACTTGCAGCAATCCTGCCCCAGCCTTCTAAATGCTGAGATTATAGGTCACCAAACCCAGCTACAAATCTTAAATTTTACATCCAAACAGCTCAATTATCTTTTTTTTTTTTTCTTCTGTCTTTTTGAGACAGGGTCTCACTGTGCAGTTCAGGCTGGCCTTGAGCTTACTTTGTAGCCCAGCTGGTCTTGAACTTGCAATGATCCTCCTGCCTCTGCCTCCCAAGTGCTGGGAAGCTCAAATATCTTAACATCACCACTACCACCCCCTCTACCCAGCCACACACCCCATCCCCCCAACCTCCACCTGCCCTAGCATTAATCTTGACAGGAGGCAGTTTCTGGCCCTGTCCTCAGCAACCCTCACCTTAACATAATCTGCATGACCTGGGCAGTCTGTGTGAGCATAGTGGCGGGTGGCCGTGCTATATTCCACATGTGCCGCATTGATGGTGATGCCCCGTGCTCGCTCCTCAGGGGCATTGTCAATCTCCTCGTATTTCTTGAATTTAGCCCCACCTCCCTCAGCTAGAACTAATGGAAGGAAGAAAACACCTTTCAGCTCAAATTCAGAGCTACAGGCATGGCTTAGGCCACACCAATAGGTCCTTCCCACCTAAATAAAAGACCACAACAAGGTAAAGCTTCCATGACCCCCCTCTCTGAAACCTCCTCTCTTCCACCAAGGAGAACTCTGGATTAGAAAGAAATGTTAAGAGTATAGGTATCTGGGCATGGCAGCACACACTTGAAACCCCAGCACTTAAAAAGGCGTAAGCAGCAGGTCTGCCAAGTTGAGCCCAACCTGGGGAACCTGATTCAGAGAGACCCTGTCCCAAAATTAAAAGGGGTAGGGGCTCAAGCGCTTGCCCTTACGACCTCTCCAGGGGTCGGCCTCTGCTGAGGAGGCTCCGCAGATACGAGTTTTGGCTTCTGCAAGGCCAGAAGGAGACTACTGGGATCCTCCAGTATATAACCAAAAAGCTCTTTAGGTTCAGGGCAATCTGTCTTTGGCATCTTCCACCCCCGGTTCTGCCCCTTGGGGCCACACTGAACTCCTCCAAAATCACTTCTGGCCCCACCTCCCTGGCTAGGGTCCCTCCAATAGAGAGCGCGCTCGTCGGACACCCCCACCCTAACCCCGCTCACTTTTCGTGATAGCTGCGGTCAGTGTAGTCTTGCCGTGGTCCACATGGCCAATAGTACCCACATTCACATGAGGCTTGTCGCGCACGTAGACCTTCTTGGCTTCCACCGCCAGGCCACGGCAGAAGAAGGGCAACGCCGGAGTTTTCAGCGGCCGCAACAGACCTTGCAATAAGGGGGTCGGGCTAGCACAAAAACCTGTCAGAACAAGGACTCGGAAGTCAGGGTGGAGGTCCGCGCCGAGCTACCCGCGATTCTCCCACGTCTCCGGACGACCATAGCTCTCCCAAGCTCCTCACCGCTAAAGCGGGGCGTCGCGCGCAGTATGGTGGCCGCCGCCATTGTAGTGGTCCGCCACTGTACAGAGTACAAGGTAGCGGGAGCCCGCGCGTGCAACCTAGGAAGGGCACCTGCGGCGGGAGCCCACTTCCGGCGGAAGTGGAGGCCCAGAGGGCACGCCTGGGCGCCTCTATCCGCCGGTTTCTATGATCATCTCGGATGTCTTCCGGCTGAGGGGCGGAAGCTGACAGTGTTGGTGTGTCCAGGACAGAGAAGGATAGAGAAAGTTTACACAACTGCGGCCTCGAGGGCTTCCGGGTACGAAAACGGGAAAATGTGGAGCGTCCCATAATGCAACGGTGCCCCGGAAGCTCATGGGCATTGTGGTTCCTAGGCGGGTACTAAGTGAATGTCTCTGGCTGACCAGAGAGATTTGGCAGCACGCAGCTAGAGATAGGACCAAGTCCTCACTGTATTTCAGAATTGAGCTCAAGTATGACTTGTCTCTCCGCAACTTTTTCTTAAAGTGGTATTAGTAACATCACCCAGTTTTTTTGTTTTTGTTTTTTTTGGTACCGGGATCTTACTCAAGACTTCGTAGCTGACAGGTGGGCGCTGTGCTGCTGAGCTATATCCCTCGCCTTTTTTTTTTTTCTTTTCTTTTTTTTTTTTTTTTTTGAGACCGGGTCTCGCTGGGGTAGTTAACGCTGGACTTGACATATGTAGCCCAGGCTGGCCTCGATCTTGCACCCATCCTCCTGCCTCAGCCTCCGGAGTCCTCAGATAACAGGTGTGCGCCACCCATGCCTAGCTCTTTTTTTTTTTTTTTTTTTTTTTTTGTAGGCTCCAGTTTAAAATGAGATCTTAACTGGTTGTGGTAGCTTGTGCCTGTAAACTCAGCACTCTGGGAGGCTGAGGCAGGAGAATTTAAATTTCTTTTTTTTTTTTAATTTTATTTAAGGAGGGGGCTGCTCAGCAGCATAAGCGCCTGCCTTGTAAGCAGGCAGTCGTGAGTTCGATCCCTGGTACCGATAAAAAGGAAAAAGACAAAAAAAAAATTTATTTAAGGAGAAAAAGAAAAAAAAAACAAAAATGGTAGGTTATACAGAATTTCAGAAAAAATAAACCGTAGGAAATCACTAGTTAATAGATTACATATTGTCATCTTAGAAATAGTTGTTCAAGTTACAAAATGAAAGCATACAAAGTGGACATTCAAACTGTGAGACTGCAAACAGTTCTGTTCAATGATCAAAAAAACTCAGTAATATGGTTATCTATCACCACAAGATGATATTAAACAAGATGATATTAAATCAGCACTAGCTATTATGATGTCTTGTTTTCTCCAAAATAGCTGTTCCTACCGTCCAACCTTCTCTGCCTCGTTTTTTTTTTTTTATCAAATCCACTTAAATATACATGCAGTTATATCCTTTAGAGCACTTTCTTTTCCTTTCTTTTGTACAATGACAATTACACATTTTGGGTTTTATTACTCCCACAGTTCTTATTACTTTTTTTGAAGAGAATAAAACCAAATGTGACATAACAAAACAGAGTCAGTCAAATCCAAAGGATGGACATAATACATACTGTAAAAACAAAATATAAGGTAATCAACAATGGTTACCATAATGCCTCTTGCTATCTTAAAAATAATTGCCTATATCATCAGTTATAATAAAATTGAACAAAACAGTAAAGAACAAAACCAATAAAACAAAAACATTGGAGACAATACAGGACTTCAAAAGAAGATAATAGTCAACCAGAATGGGGGTCATAATGAATCTTATTGTCTTCACAGTTGTTGCCTATACTTTCAAACTTGGTACTATCAAGCAAAACATAATAGAGGAAAATCAGTTAAAACAAGATGGTGAGAGCAATACAGGGTTTCAAATCAAGTTAATAGGAAATCAAAGCGGGTTACTATAATATATCCTGCTATTTTTTATTTTTCCCTTAATTAAAAAGATTAAAAAAAGTAAATAATAAAAAAAGGAGATTGAGATAAAAGAGGGCATAACAACAAAACAGCGCAGGTCAAAACATAACCATTTAAGCAAAATAGTGTTTCACCACAAGATATCCCAACATAAAAGTAGTTACCATAGTGTCTCTTTCCTTGAAATCTTTGAGTATAATTTCGTATACTATAGTATCAAACATATCAAGACAATGTAAAACCATTAAAGAGAATGACAGTAGTACAGGGTATTTAGAATCAACTAACAGAAAATCAACAATGGTTTCTGTATAATCTTGTCTATAAAAGTTTTTGTTTATATTATCACATATAATAAAATCCAATAAGGGAGCTGGGGATTTAGCTCAGTGGCATAAGCGCCTCCCTTGCAAGCAGGCAGTCGTGAGTTTGATCCCTGGTACTGATAAAAACGAAAAAGACTAAATAAATAAATAAATAAAATCCAGTAAGATACAACATACTAAGATGGATGGAGACAGAAGAACAAAAGCTTGATGGGACTTCAAAACAAGATGATATTAAATCAGCACTAGCTATTATGATGTCTTGTTTTCTCCAAAATAGCTGTTCCTACCGTCCAACCTTCTCTGCCTCGTTTTTTTTTTTTTTTTTTTTTTTATCAGCACTGGGGATCAAACTCACGACCACACACTTGCAAGGCAGGCGCTTATGCCACTGAGCTAAATCCCCAGCCTCTCTCTGCCTCATTTCTGTTGAGCTCTTTTTCTGTCATTAGTTGTCAGTTTGTCCTCTTCATTTTGCTTTCTGCTCCATTCACTGTGGCCTCTCTGTCACTGTTTCTGGAATCTTGGTATTTTTCTTTTTTAGAATATCCTGCAGTATTATCTGTAGAGTTGAATTGGTGGTTGCAAATTCCCCTAGTTCCTCTTTATCCTGGAAGTACCTTGTTTCTCCATTAATTTCTAGGGACACTTGTGCAGGATATGTCAGTCTTGGCTGGAGGTTATTATCTTTCAAAACTTGAATTATTTCCCCCCACGCTCTTCGTGATTTGATGATTTGTGCCTAGAAGTCTGCTGTAATTTTTTTTGTCTTTTTCCTTTTTATCGGTACCAGGGATCAAACTCATGACTGCCTGCTTGCAAGGCAGGCGCTTATGCCGCTGAGCTAAATCTCCAGACCCAGTCTGCTGTAATTCTGATGGGTGTTCCCTTGTAAGTGATCTGTTTCTTGTCTCTGACGGCTTTTAATATTCTGTCCTTATATTGGATTTCTGGAATTTTGATAATTATATGCCTGGGTGTAGCTCTGTTTGGGTTGTAGGTGGCTGGGGTCCTGTATGCCTCATACATCTGAGTATCTTTCCCTTTTGCTAAATTAGGGAAATTCTCCTGGATTATTTCTCTGAATAGCTTTTGTAGTTCATTTGTTTGTGTCCCTACTTGTTTTATGTTCTTAATTCTTAAGTTATAGATCCTCTTACCATCTTCTAGCCTTTGTATTATTGCTGTTTGTTTCCTTGTTACTTTTAAGAAGTTTTTCATTTTATGCTCCTACATTACACATTTGTTCTCCAGTTCAGATAATCTATCCTTAGTTTCTTTCAAGCTGTTAGGTCAGCTTTCAATAGAGTTTTTAGTTTCCTGGTAATCTCTTTGAACCTGCTTCACATATTCTATGTTTTCTCTATTTTCTCCATCAAACAATTCTCTTCTTTTTTTCCATTCTTCCATTCCACTATCTGTTTTCTTGGGTGGTGCTTAGCATTTCTATAACTATTCTACTTATATCTTGTTTTACTTTGTTAAATACTTAACTTTTGAACTCGTCTATGAGGCTCCGGAGGTATTGCTTTATGTCTATTGGTGCCGTGTCTGATATTGCATGTTTTCTGTCCTCATTCTCCTTTGCATTTACCTTTCCTGAATCAGTGTTCTCAGGATTGGGGACTGAGGACCCTTTCTTGTTGCTCCCTCTTCCCATACTTTTTGTTCCTTCCATACAAGCGTATATAGGAGGCCCAGTTTTTTCTTTGTCAGTTACAGTTTGTTTGAATCCGCTGGTAGGTGTTCCCGCCCACTGCAATGTACTAGGGAGACACAGACCTGGGCAGCCTCTGCTGGGCCCGCCCCTCCAGGTCAACCTACTGAAGGCTTCACTGCTCAAGTGCACCGCCAGGTGCTGGGACCTGGTTTGGGCTAGCCTACTGGATCTCAGTCTGTGGCATCACCCAGGCCAAGCGCTCCCCACCAGTCCCGCTTGAGAGGGGAATATGCGACTAAAGTCACTGCATCATCCTGTTCCGGCTAGTCTGCTGGGTCCCAGAATGTCCTCTGTTGGAGCCTCCTAGTCTATGGAAGGGTCCCCGTTCCTCTCACTCACTGCAGGTCGATGCAGGAATCCCCGCCAGTCCCATTCTCAATTCCGTTCGCCAATTCCCGCTCTCAGAGGTTTCACATCTCTCTCCCTGCTATGCTAATTCAGACGCAGCAGCAGCAGCAAGAAATTCAAATTGCAGCTTCCAGAGAGGCGGGTTCCAGCTTCCATGCTGAGATTTTATCTGTTCTGGTTATAGCACCGGGATTGCATTTCCAGTTGGTTTTTCTCAGCTTAGTTCATTCCTGGGTCAGCAGGGTATATCTCCCCTTGCTTAGGACTCCTCATACCGCACCATTCCTGGATTCTAAGCTGGCTATCTCAGAGAGCCTCTGTAGCTGCTGTTATCTATCTGCTATGTTCTCCCAGAAGTAGCTCAGAATTTAAATTTCTTAAAGATTTAGACCATCCCAAAACAAAATGATCTCGGATGTAGCTCAGTGTGAAAGCCTTGCTTCAGTCCAATCCTCAGTGTAGAGGGAAGGATATCTTGAAAGAGTGATGAAAGGGGCAGAACTTGGTGTATGAGAGGGAACAAACTGGGCAGGAGTTAGGAGTAATATCTTGGAACTTTCAATTCTGAGATCCTCAAATATACCCGCCCGCATGTCTCATGGCCTTCCAGGACATGTTACTGCCTAATCTCACAGAATCAATCCTCAAGAGATTTTCAGCTTTCCCCATAGTCAGTCTGCAGCCTAAGGAGCAATTCCCTTGATTCCTCAGTTTCACCATGACCACAAGACTGAGGGACCAGGTGGGGACCCTTTAAGGGTGGCTCAACTCTTTTTTACTCCCTCAGGAGCTGGGTGTAGTGGCACACAACTGTAACCCCAACACTTGGGAGGCT